AATTCCAGGCAGTTTGGTCTACCTAGTGAATTCAAGGGTAACCTGAATTACATAGTTAGATCTTGTCTCAAAAAAGGGTGTGTGTGTGTGTGTGTGTGTGTGTGTGTGTGGAAGTCTTAAGGGGACTGGTTAAAACTCTTGGAGAGCCTTTGCCTAGCATGCTCGAGGCCCTGGATTCAATTCTAGTGTTCAATAGTGTTTTCCCACCTTGCAGCCAGACACTTAAAATGGACAATGCTCATCCAAGAAGAAACAAATACTTTCTTCGGCTAAAAATGCCAGATCTGCCCTCACTTTTCCACATTCTTTTTTCTAATCAAGTATTGGATGTCAGTAAACTGTGCTACTTCAGCTGTCATGCAGACACGACAAGCTACCACTCCAGGAGGTCCGCAGAGGTAGTATCTGTGAACCAACTGGTAACGCGCCACCCGCCCACAAGTGGCTCTTGGCAATGCAAGCCTAACTTCAGGCTTTTGAGTTTTCTTGCCTTTATGCATTCTGAAAGCAGGCACAGGGGAGATAAATCCATAATTAGGGGGTTAATTTAAGAGATTTGTGACCTGACAAACTGCCACCTGTCTGTGCCCACTAATGCAGCGAAAAATCTTTGCAGCCCTTTGTCTCCAGGTGAGGTGTCTAGTTTCCAGGCCTGCCAGAGCTCTTGTTCCTATGCCTGAGAGATGGGTATGTGGTGGGGACATTAGCACTGTCCTGAAAGCTCACCTACAAACGATACCTTTTACTAGTTGTTGCATTCTTTGTCCTGAAATCAATTATGCCAACCTAAAGTTTGATTTTAGCTCACTTCATTACACAAGTGCACATTACAGAGGGTCAAGTTGCAAACGTTACAATGTGGAATTCACCGTGCAAGGTGAAGGAAAGCCAGAAGAGTTGCCACAGCCCGAGGAATTCAAAGCTCCCTAATAGCAGCCTCGGAGTTTAGAATGCTTAACAGATTTGAGAGTCCACTTACAATCATTTTAGCTGGCAGTAAGTATTTACCGAGTGGCTGTTTTATTTACAGTCCTCAGATATGATGTGAATGCATCAGGCGTGTGCTTATGAAATGCCATTCCCTTCACCTGTTGCTGCGGCAGGGCGCTCATCTTTCCTGGATACTGATTTTCCTCTTTATTCATTGTCTTTCATTCAAAATGAAAAACTAGTGTGTGATTAATAGAGTGAGGTGTACCTTGGTGAGCTGGTGTGGTGGTACAGTACATGGCTGTAATCCCAGCTCTCAGGAGGCTGAAGCAGGAGAATTATGAGTTTGGGTCCATCTAGGTTATCATACAACACACTGACTCCAAAAAAAGGAAAGCATTTATCTTGAACAAAAAACCTTTTCGATGCACCTAAAATTGCAAGAGAAATTTGCATTCCTATTCATTGAATCCTAAAGAAGAAAGGCATGCTTACTTATTTTTGTCATTCTAAGAATTAAACCCAGGCTTTCACACTAAGCTACAACCCTAGTCTTTTTTATTTTGAAATAGGCTCTTGCTAAGTTGCTAAGTCATCCAGGCTGAGTTAGAAACTTGTGGTTCTCCTGCTTGAGCCTCTACAAGTGCTGTAGGTATATGCCACCATGCCCAGCAAGAAAGTACATTTTTAGTACTACAAACCTACAAATATATATGCATGCACATACATACACATATGTATATATATATATGCACAGTTTATATATAGTGGGACATATTTTATAAGGCTCAACAATTTTTAATTATGAAATGTTTCAGATACAAAAAACCATTGCAACTAAAAACAAGATACTCATGTACCCATATTTATTGTTTGCCAGATTTGCTTCATATGGTTATTTTATTTCATTTATTCATTCATTCATTTAGCGAATTGGGGTTTAATGTCACAGTCTTTGCAGTGACCAACACTGCCAGCCCTTTTTTATTTTTCCTGTTTTGAGATAGGGTCTTCCTAAGTCACTAAGTTGCCAAGGCTGGACTCAAACTTGCCATCCTCCTGCTTCAGTCTCCCAGAGTGCTGGGGTCAAGGGCATGTGCCATCACCTCTGGCTACACATATTGTTTTTATTTTTAAAGGAAGCATTCATACTAGAGTCTGAGGCTCCAGCCTTCCCTTCTTCCCCAATGCCTCTTTGGTGTTAACCTCTATCCTATCTATTCCAGGTTTTTAAAAAAATATTTTCACGATTTATGTATTTTTTGTTCATAAAATTTGAAGAAGGGCTACACTTTACAGATGTATATTGCTTTTTCGTTCCATAGTATTAAGATCTATCTACCTTGTTGTAGGTAAATTCATTTGAACTACTGTTTAAATTCCACTGCCTGCATGTACCACTGCCCGCGTATCCATTTCCTTTCTAAAGTGCATATAGGTGCTTCACCATCTTTTACCATGACATACGATGCTAACAGCTACAAAACCATGCGCATTGCAAACCCAGTTACCTCCAAGTTCAAAATAACAGGTCTGAAATAGAACCATTTAGTTTCCCAGCTTCACTTAGGGTTTTCCTGCAGTCCACAGTGCACACCACCCTTGAGGTTTAATGGCATCTTTGCTTCCTCCATCAAAACCCTTCCCTGTCTGTCCAGCATTCCTAGGATGGATCCCAAGTGCTTCTTGTGGCCAAGAAAGTCTCAATGATTGAGGCTCTCTTTCAGGTAAACAATATTAATAAATTCTAGTGATCTCCTATTCAATACTGTATCCATAGTCAACAGCACTATATAAGGTACATCTCTCATATTATGTGTTTTCTGAACCAACCACAATAAAATAAAATTGCTAAAGTAAACACGGACACAGACACACATAAAAATAGAAGAAAATACGCTAGTTGCAACGCGTTGAATTGACTTCACAATCTACTAACAGATTTGAAGCCACAAAGTGAAAAACTGTTCTAGTGTATATATCTTAAAGTGACTTAGCTGGGTCTACTAAATATTCCCGAATTGATTTTTACTATAAAAACTTACACTACTATCATTATGGGAGTTGCTCACATCTTTAACTTGGTCTTAGCAGGTTTTTGAAGTCCTGCCAGTTACAGCAACACTGTAACTAATGTTTTAAATTTGCATTTTCCTAATTATTAAAAAGCTTATTATTATTTTCATAAAAGGACCAGAGAGCTTATCCTTTTAAAAAAATATATTATATATATACCAAATTATTTCTAGTGCCCCAGGAGGATTAAGACTTATAACCTCTTACAAGCATATAATTATGCCTTATCTTATCTTCCCCACTTTATGTGACTAACAATTCCATTATATGTATTGAGGGTTAGGAAACTAAAAATCCTACTCCTAAGGACACTATACCAACAATAATTTTAGTCTACCTCCAGTTTAGTTGTTTATTCAACAAACATCTACCGAGGGCTCTGGTCCCACTGGTAACTTCACTAGACAAGACCAATAGCCTCCCCTCCTGGCGTCTACCTCCCTTTCTTTGTAACTCGCAGTGGCAGTGCCCATTGGGCAGGCGTGTTTATGAAAAGCAGGAAGACTCCTTCCAATTCATTGTTCTCAGAGCACTGCCTACTTAGACAGGTTTATATTTGGGGAAAACGGTGAGTTCACGCCAAGGAATCATCTTCAGAGAAAAGTTCTTAAAAAGGGAGAAATGTGTTTTCACTTCAAACATTTATTTGAAGATGTACGATGTTATTAGGATCTTTTAAAAGTAATCCATGTATTTTTCTTCTAAAAGCAAGTTTTTTGCTCTTTACCAAAAGAAATTAAAAAAGATTCGCACTTACAGCATTTCGTTGTCACGGTAGGTTTAATTTAAAAGGCAGTGAAAAGTGGCTGCCGTTCTTTCTGACTCAGGTAGGTACTTTATTTCGAAAAGATCACCCGGCCACATTAAAACATTCTGCAGCTTCTATCTCCAACAAATAACCGTCTAGAGACCTTTCTTTTTTCTTTTTTAAAGAGAAAAAAAAAAAAAAATAGAAACAATGATACAGAATTTCAAAACAGGATAATAGGAAACTAACCATGGTTGTTAATACATTGCGTATTGTTGTCTTCAAAGTAGTTACTCAGATGAGATCATTTTTAATCCCACGGATAAGTCTTCACTAAATGGCACCGGCTGTTTTCCAGTTTAAACACTATAGATCTTATGCAAAACGAGTCGATTTCCTGTACTTTCCGGAACGATCAGGATTTAACTCATTTTATTGCTTCAGATAGTGGTGGTGTTACCAGATAAGGGGAGTTATACCCACAGACGGAAAATCTACTACAAAGGGTGGTGTTCCTGCTGGATTCTTCGTTATTTATATTGTTTCAGATAATGGGAGCTCTGGGGAGCACGGAAAGTACCCCCGATCCCAGGCCCACCGCCTGGCTTTTTCTCCCCTGCTCCGGAATTCATGCAAATCATCCAGCTCACCCTGGGGCAATTCGAACCACTTTCGCGCCACTCGCTCAGGACCGCGCAGCTACATAAAGAGTGAGATTTCTGTAGGTCTCCCCGAACCCACTTTCTGAAAGGAAGTTTTAGGAGTCCCCAAGGTTATCCTTGATGCCTAGAATATCTGGAGCGCCAAGTTTTTCCCGGGGCCCAAATTGGCCTTGTGAGCTGTCGGGACGTTACCTCAGCTTGCAGGACCTGCGCCCCGACGCGGGAAAACCGGCCTGAGCCCCGCCCCTAGGGACCCCGTCCGCGCGCCCCGCCTGCAGGCTGCGCGGCTCCCGCTGCTCCGGCTCCTTGGCACCGCGGCGCGGCTCCTTCGCCGTTCCCTGTCCGAGCACCGCCGCTCGGGCGCCTACCGCCAGCATGGAGGTTGGCCGCGTGCGGGTGAGGGCTGGGGGGGGGTGGGCGGACCCGAGGGGCGGGCAGGCTGGGTGCGGTGTGCAGGCCGGGACCCGGCAGCTCCAAGCACTCTGCAGTCCTAGGCTGCTTATCAACTGATGGCCGTCCTGGGCGTCGCCGGTTTGAGCAAATCCCAGATTTTGTGCATTTAAGATTTGGAGCAACTCAAGGCTTTGGGGCCGTCCCTGTTGCGTGCGCGCAGCGCGGAGGGAGGAGAGCTGCTCGCGGCTGGGTGGCAGCGCGGGGGATCCAGGCACGTGCGTCCGCTTTGCACGTGCGCTTGCCTGGCGGCGCCCGGGGATGTCCCGGAGCCAGACAGCGCGGCCGCACACCCCGCTCAAGCGCACAGGGGATGCTCCAGGGACGCAGAGCCCCTGCGGCTGCTCCCAACCGCCGAGGGTCTTGCAGACGCCTTTCTGTGGGACGTGGGCTGTGCACTGAGGGGAGGAGGTGTACTTTTAGTCCCACGTGTTGCAGAAGCCCAGCTGAAGCCCCAGGTGATCCAAACTATTCACCACCACCATCTCAAGCCTTCGCTCCCGCTTTCTCCACTCCGTCGCAGCTGCGAGTTACCCAGAACTGAACGTAACTGTTTGCTCTAACGGAAGGCAAAATTTAGGGCCTGGCCAGGAGAGGGGAGGAAAGTGGGGGTTGGGTGGAAAGGAAAAGAGTGATGTGCTCAAAAGTTAGCAGGGGTTAGGGAGTTGTGTGGGGGAGGCTGAGCTGGGTGCGAGGGGCGTGGTCTCAGAACCCGTTCCCTGCCCGGTGCTGAGGGCTTTGGGGTCCAGCCTGTGGAAAGCCGGCTGTTAACTGTGTGCAAGATTCAGATCTGGTCCACTGTGTGACTGGAGCAATCCGTTTCTCCTCTCTGAACTTAAGTTTCCTCGTCTGTTAAGGGAGTACGTTTGTTGCCAAGAATTAAACAGGATGTGTAAGTGTTTAACAAAGACCAGGCACACTTACACCCTACTGTGAAACGGAATCAGTTAGGCTTGACAAAAAACGGTCATCTCAATCACGACCATTTGCTTTTCTTTTGTGTTTCCTCTAAGGTTATGTTTGCCTGGTAAATCACTTGACTTGTTAAAGTGCAGCAATCACTCCGCCCTCCCTCCACCCCGAGTCCATATAGAATGCATTCCTGGAGGCTATGGTGGGCCTCCGACGCTCCAGGTAGATGATGATGAGTCCCCGAAGTAAGGAGCATTACTGTTTTTAGGAGGTTGCAAACTACAGTCCTTTCAGCCCTGGGATTTTTGTGTAATCAATTTCTCCTTCGTAGGGGCTTGAATTTCTTCATCCGGAAAATAGTTCCTAAAAGGACAGAAAGACTGACACTTAAAGTTATTGGATAGCTTCTAACGGGTTAGGAAAGTTAGGCTGCCATCTTACACAAATAATTTTGTTAGTAAGAGACTGAAAGGCAGAATGTCAAGTGAAGGAGGAAATCAAGAACATTTGCTCTTCCCACACCTTGTTTTTTGAGACCTAAAGCAGAACTTGCCTTTCGGGTTTCAGTGAAAGGATTCACTGCTCCTCTGTGGCCCTATTTAAGGAAATAAAAACATAGGAACAAATCGGACATTTAAGATAATCTCATTAAGAAATGGCAAAAACTACTGTCCTTTTTACCCAAGATAGATTGCATTTCTGATGTGTAGTGCAGGGCTGTTTGTTTCATGTCTACAAGTAATTTGCACTTAATGAAAGAACTTGTAAAAAGTTCTCCTTTTGTTTTTCTGAGTACTGAGATAAAACACAGGGCCTTGTGCAGTGCATGGGGTTCTTTACTACTGAGCAGCATTTCCGGCCCTAAAAAATGAAGTCTTAACAGAGTAAGGGGTCTGCAGAAAGAGCTGAGTGACAGCCATGGAGTGTTAAAATGGAATCAAGTGTCTCTCCTGCTTTGGAGGGGTGTTTGATCTTTAACTTGTCTTCTACCACGTGTTTGCTGAGCTGATAGATTTGATTGGTAAGGTTTTGTGGTGAAATCACTGTACCTCTCCTGACTGGAACACAAGCTGTTTAGAAGCTATTTTGAAACAGAGGTCCTGCCCAATTTTGGTAGTTGGAGAAATTAGCAACAGTACATAGTCCAAAGCTTACATTAAAAAGATCTCATTAGCTTGATTTTGGCTGAGGGAAGAAAAAATGTGCTCTGCCATTTTGTGCTTTTGAAATTGACTTTTAAAAGTACAGTTCAGTTTTTTTTAAAGTGAGATTGGATTAAACTCTTTAAGAGTTTAATATTGAATTCCTATGGAGCCCAGTATAATGCTAAGCGCTTAGGGCCTCTTAAGGTAGGAAGCGAGGTAGTTCTGCAGATGTTTCAATAAATTGATAACTACCATTACATTTTTCTTTTTCCAGAGGAATACCTCTTAAAATTTGACCTAGTTTAGAAATTTTTTTGTAGCAATTGCACCGCTTCCTTTTTTCTCTGTAAAGTATAAGAAATGAACATATCTACTCTGCTACTTAAACTCAAAAATGATGTCTTTAGCTAGCTACTACAGGAAATATCCTATTTAATAGTATTGCCATTTCCATTTACAGCAAAAGGATCTCAGAGTGAAGAACGTAAAGAAATTCAGATATATGAAGTTGATTTCCATGGAAACATCGTCATCCTCTGATGACAGTTGTGACAGCTTTGCTTCTGATAATTTTGCAAACACAGTAAGTGCAGCCTGAGAATAAACAGAATTGAATCTGCAGTACTCAAAATGCCCCAAATGCTTTTGTGCATGATTAAAACTGCTTGCTTTTTGCCTACATTTCTATACAGCCGCTATGAAAATACAGTATGCACTGTAATTTTATTTCACTTTTTGCAGTGGTTCTAGGTAGTAATTGTTGGAGGTAGATTAGCTACTTATTCTGTCCTTTTGAAATGTCGCCTAACCTAACATGCCTGATGATTTGCCCTAACAACTCAGAAATCATTTGTAAACCTCTGAACCATTTTTCTTTGTAACAAAAGCTATTCTCTTGTAGTGCACTTGTAAATGTGATTTGTTCTCTGCACGGTTTATGGAAAATTGGTTCTTGAAAAAGAAAAAAAAATGCACAACCACACTTATTTATTTATTTATTTTACAGAAATCTAAATTCAGGTCAGATATCAGTGAAGAACTGGCAAATGTTTTTTATGAGGACTCTGATAATGAATCTTTCTGCGGCTTTTCCGAAAGTGAGGTACAAGATGTGTTAGACCATTGTGGATTTTTACAGAAACCAAGGCCAGATGTCACTAGCGAACTGGCCAGTATTTTTCATGCCGACTCTGACGATGAATCATTTTGCGGTTTCTCAGAGAGTGAGATACAAGATGGAATGGTGAGTCTGACAGTTTCACCAATTTCAAGAAGTAGGGTGCATTTAAGGCATGACATGGTTTTTGAAAAAAAAATTTTTTTTTACTTTTTTTAGTTGTGCCAGAGATTTTGTTGACCATTTAAACATTTTGAATATTATCTTCATGTCTTGGAACAGTTTTTCCTACTGCAGCCCTATTTGTAAATCTCAAACATTTTGCAGGCTCAAGTTGGCCAAAGTGCAGATTTCCATGATAACCACAGAGATCCAGCCTAATGACAGGAAGCGCTTGGGTGTCTGTGTAGGTGCCCAGCCTGGTGCCTAGCGTACCACAGCTGGCCTTAGATAAACGCCGGTTTCCATAGTTAGTTCCTTCCCTGTATCCTGAGAACTTGGCAGACTTCCTGGGCAGGAGCTTAGAGTACACAAGGACAGATAGGGCCCTTCCTGCTGTGTCTGTCTGCTCTTCTGTCTGCTTCTTCTGTGCACGTGCCCTCCTTCTTGACTCTTGCCCTGCTAAGGCTGCTGCTGCGATTGCCCCATTCCTGAGCACGTGCCTAGCTTTGCAGGCCTGTTCTTGCCCCAGACTTTCTGCAAAGGAAGCATGTTTCCTTGCAGGTGGATGCATGCCTTCCCTCACTGGTATAGCACAGCTCCACTCCTAAGGCCATGTCTTGGGTAACACATGTGAGCGACAGTACCTGAGCCGGGAGCACTTAGCACCCTGTGACTGCCATGACCATGCTTCCTCTGATCCCCAGTGGCCAATCTGCAAATCTGGATGTGACCCTTTGTTAGTAGCCTGAATGCTTACTGGGCAGTGATTTCAGGTTTTTGTAGATACTGGGCATTGTGATGAATAAAATGCCCGTTGATTAGAAGTACAAAGAATCCCTAAAGTTCTTTGTTGTTTTGTATTCTCTCCTCCCTAGACACGAAAAAGTACATGAATAGTACCAAAAATCATGGGGATTTAAGAAATACTTGTTTATTCATTTATTCAGTCTGGGGGTTCAAACCCAAGGCCTCATGACTGGTAAGCACACATTCCACCACAGCACTGTACCCCAGCCTATTAAGAAAGTTTTGAATGTTAAAAACGAGTTTTTCAACCTGAGTGTGGTGGCTCATGCTTGTAATTACAGCTCTAGGAAATTGAGGCAGGAGGACTGCAAATCTGAGCCCATGCCTGGGCAATTTAGTATCCTAGCAGGACCCTGTCTCAAAAGAGCTGGGATACAGCTTGTTACAGAGGCCCTGAGTTCTATCTCCAGTTCCCCCCAAAAGAAAAAGGGAAATGGATCTTCCTGGGGCATCATGAGTGACATTTTTTTCTCTGATGGCTCAGAACAGTGTGTCCCAGATGGGCTGCATGGTGTCACAGTATTCTCCAGTTACTATATTTATTTGCATGTCTTGATTTTGTTAACCCAAATGATTTGTTAACCCAATGTGAGGCTAAAATTCATTTGCTGAAGTGTCTTTTGTACTAGAGGGAGGTCAAATTGGTGATGCTTATCTTCTATCAAGTCCTTAACAATTGTTCTGATTGACTAGAGACTGCAGGCAGCCCGAGAGGGCTGCAGGACCCGCAGCCAGGGTAGACTCTCTGGCCCTCTCAGGGTGGCCATGAAGTTTCCAGTGCGAGTGCATAGCACCAGGGCGACAACCAACAAAAAGCCAGCACCCCCCAAACCTCCAGAGAATTCTGACATCATTTCCATCTCCGATTCAGAAGACGAAAGTGGCGTGAACTTTCTGGAAAAAAGGGCCTTAAATATAAAGCAAAACAAAGCCATGGTAAGTATCTGACTTTGAATCACGTCTTCCCAGCTTTTCCCTGAGCAACTTGTTAGCTTATATCTGTGTTCTAAGAATGACTTCTGTATAACTGCGAAGACTTTACAGTATGTACTTGAAGTGCATTTTCTTATAGCTGAGAGTTTGGCTCAGTGGTATACTACTATAAGCTTCTTGACAAAGGGTTCAATCCCTAGCATCAGAAAAAAAGCATTTCGTTCCCTAAACTTTGCTTTATACAATACATGTTAAAGACATGGTTAAGCACAGAGGAGAAATCAGAAACTTCTGAATGTGTCAGTTTATTAAAACTGTGAGATATGCTAGTGTAATCTTTATAAGTTAGCTGTTGCTTTTCTTTTCTTTTCTTCTTCTTTTTTTTTTTTTGGTACGTGAGATGGAACTCACGACTGCACGCTTGCAAAGGCAGACACTTATGCTACTGATCTAAATCCCTAGCCCCAAAATTATCTGGGGATTCTTTTTTTTGTTGTTTTTTTTGGTACTGGGGATTGAACTCACAACTTTGCATTTGCCAAGTAGGCATTTAAGCCGCTGAGCTAAACCCCTGGCCAACTGCTTTTCTAAATCATTCATTTCTATTTAACTTTTTTCTTTTTTAGCTTGCAAAACTCATGTCAGAATTAGAAAGTTTTCCTGGCTCATTCTCTGGAAGACCATCTGTCCCGGGCCCCAGATCAGTGAGTATATGTGATTCCTTATTTGTTTGGCATTGTTTGGGGCAAGCCTAGAATTGATTTACCATACAGTCTAGGCTAGCCTCTAGTTCAGACGATCCTCCTACTTCAATCTCCTGAGTACTAGATTATAGGCTTGTACTACCACACTGGGCTTTTCAAAATTTGGTTGTTTATGTTCTGACGTCCTTCCCAGTTAGGCTAAGCCGAGACCTTGTTTCTCTACATGGCTTTACCATATTTATCATGCATGGGATAAAATGGAAAATCAGGAAAGCAATTTCTGTACCAGGTGATGGCCTGATATCCTATGTGATTATACTCTGAAACTGAGCTGGAGTGCAGAGAGAAATTTGGTGGATCTGCTGTGGTATTGAAGGAAAGCCTAGCCCAGGGACATAGCTCCACAGCATAAGCATCTGCCTGGCAAGTGCTAGGTTCTAAGTTCAATTCCTGGTACACAAAAGAGAACAAAACAAAAGCAAAGCCTACTCTGCTCCCTCCTGTCCTGCCCCAGGAGACAGACTGAATCCAGTGAGGCAGTAAAGAGGGTGGGCCAGACATTCTTTTGTGAAATATAGAAACAGTAGGTGTGTCCTGGGCTCAAGAGATGTAATAGAGGGTTTTTTTGGAACAAGAAATCAGATTCACATCTTCATTAAATAGAAGAATAAATAGACCAATTTGAGAGAACCTGAGCTTGGTTTTACAAAACTACAATAGCTACATGAGTTTTGGGCTCATTTTCTGTGCATTATGAAAAAGACAAAATGAAGCTCTTTTGTTTACTTAAAAGGAAACTCCTTAAGGGAAAGATGTAAATTGTCCAAAGTTCTGCTTGTCTTTGTTATGAAATAAACTGGATTCCACCCTGTTTTGTTAAGCTGTCGAAGACTCCCAGGAGGCGCACATTCCCACGAATGGCTGCCAGGAGGAACCCAGAGCGCAGAGCTCGGCCGCTTACCAGGTCCAGGTCTCGGATCCTGGGGTCTCTGAGTGCTCTCCCCACTGAGGAGGAGGAAGAAGAGGAAGACGATAAGTACATGCTCGTGAGGAAAAGGAAGGCCTTGGATGCATTGGTACTTGCTCTTCTGTTGGTCCAGGGTCCAGTACACACAGCCTCCCCACCCAGGGAACCAACTTAAGTGTTTTCTCTAACCATTCAGAACCTTTCCTGTCACATCAACTTAATTTGATTTTTTTTTGGTGGTGGTTCTGGGTTGAACCCAGAGCCTTCATACTGAGCCACATCCCCAGCCTTGTTGTAGTTTCTTTTTTTTTTTTTTTTGTCTTTTTCCTTTTTTATCGGTACCGAGGATCGAACTCATGACTGCCTGCTTGCAAGGCAGGTGCTTATGCCGCTGAGCTAAATCCCCAGCCCAAGTAATATTCATCTTTTTTTTTTTTTGTCTTGTAGTTTCTATTCTGAGACAGAGTCTTGCTAGCTTACCCAGACTGGGCTTGAATTTGTGACTCCTGCTTCAGCCTCCCAAAATGCTGGTGGTTTGATTTTGTTAGGGCTTTTCTCAGTTGTAAGAGTTGTTTCCATAGTGTCATCCAGTCATCCTCACTATAAACTTACGACTTGCCCCTTTTGCATAAGCCTGTGAAATCTCCAGTTGAACCTTCTGGGAAGAAATTACAGATCAGGCATCTTAGCTTCAAAGCTGCGGGGAGGCTGAGGGAACCCTGTCTCTTGCTTCTCATCACACAGGACGATGACATGCCCAGAAGTCGCCGCCCGGGATCCATGACCCTTCCACATATAATTCGTCCAGTAGAAGAAATCACAGAGGACGAGTTGGAGAACATCTGCAGCAACTCCCGAGAGAAGATCTATAACCGCTCGCTGGTGAGAGCTCCGGAATTCAGTCTCGGAATGTAAACAGTGAGAGTAGGGAGAGGGAGATGCGGCTGCAGTGCTGCTAGTGTTTAACGTCTTAGATGTAAGGGTGTGTGTCTCTGCCTTCCCGTACAAGGAAGCAGGCATGTAGACACAGTGGCATATGAAAGAGAAGAATGGTTTGGGCAGATTGCTATGTGTGCCTGTGTGGAACTCGGCCTTGCACATGCTAGGCAAGGGCTGCACCTTGGGGCTGTGCATCTGTCCCTGGAGAGAAGGAAGGCGTTCCAGTGCCGTGTGCTGTTACTGCTGAGTGCGGTCATCTTGTTTCCTGGGCTTCCCATGCTGTGCCATGTACCTGAGGACGGCGATAGGACATAAGATTCACAGAAAATGTCACACTCGTATTTGGTCAGGTCATTCTTTAGATGTGCCATTTTTCTCTACAACAAGCAACAGTCCTGAGTTTTGTCTTTACTTGCTCTGTGTTTGTAGGGTTCTACTTGCCATCAGTGCCGTCAGAAAACTATTGATACCAAAACAAACTGCAGGAACCCAGACTGCTGGGGCATTCGTGGCCAGTTCTGTGGCCCTTGCCTTCGGAATCGCTATGGGGAGGAGGTCAGGGATGCACTGCTGGACCCGGTAGGTGCCTTGAACAAAGGGGGACCCTCGGGATTCAATCACAGCTGCCTTGGAGATGGCAGTGCTCGGCCTGGGGGCGGCAGGTAGAGTCACAGTGTTGGGGTGCACAAGTGTCCTGCACAGTATGTACAGAACTCGGGTTTCAGGGTGCTTTTCACACTTCCCCTGTAGGACTGGCACTGCCCACCTTGTCGGGGGATCTGTAACTGCAGTTTCTGTCGCCAGCGAGATGGACGGTGTGCAACTGGGGTCCTTGTGTATTTAGCCAAATACCATGGCTTTGGGAATGTGCATGCTTACTTGAAGAGGTAATAGCCATTTTCTCTTCCACATCTGAATTTTACCTTCATTTGTGCATCTTAATAAAAAGATGATGGAAACCAGAATCATGTTATCTCTAGGGCGTGGGGAGTATTGCGTACTGACTAAATAGTGAGAGTTGGAAACATTTTTTTCATTTGAAGGGTGGTAGCCAGGTGGATGAATGTAAAGTTCAGATTATACACTTGATGTGTGCATTTGAGCATGTGCATGTTATGATGGTGCCAGGGATCGAACTCACAACCTCGAGTTTGCCAAGCAGGCACATATGCCATTGAGCTAAACCCCTGGCCAATGTTATGACTCTATAATTAAAACATTGTTTAGAAAATTAAGCCAGATATGGTAGTGCACACCTGTAATCCCAGCTCTTGGGATACAGAGGCAGGAGAATTGCTGTGAATTCAAAGCCAGGGTGGGCTACATAGAGAGTTAAAGGCGTAGAATATATAGTAAAACCTTGTCTCAAAATACCAACATAAAAACCCCCATAAGACCAAAAAACATAAGTTCCAGCTCAACCTGGGCAGTTTAGTGAATTATTGAGATCCTGTCTTGAAATAAAAAATTTCAAAAAGATTGGGGATGTAGCTCAGTACAAAGGCCCTAGGTTCAGTGCACAGTATTTAGAAGGTGGGGAGTGGTATTTGGCTTTCAAAAGAGAATTCATAGGTCATATCTGACATACTCTTTTTTTTCTTTTCCCCCCACAGTCTGAAACAGGAGTTTGAAATGCAAGTACATAATACCTAGAAGACTGGCTGCCTGCTTTCCACAGCCCACATTTTCCTAGTTGAAATTTCCAGTTCTTTCATTGATTGAAACCTGAGTTAAGAATCATTGTGATGGTCAGTTTAATAGAACACTCAGATCAGGTTAATCCCAGTAGATTTGCAGGTGCTTCTAGAACATCATGGAAGGTGGTTTGCTAGTGACGCCTTGCCCTCTTTGCCACTTCTCTGTGTCCTCTGCCCCCACCTCATAGTGTCTCCTCTATTTCCATCTGCCACTTAAGTACCCAGATTTTTTTTTTTTTTTAATTTGTGTGTGTGTTTTATGTGTGTGTGGTGCTCGGGGTGGAATCCAGGCCCTTGCACATGCTAGGTAAGTGCTGTGTCACTGAGCCACATCCCCAGCCCTCAAATTCTTTTTCAAAGATGATTACTAGTGTATATTTGATTTAATGCATGTTGATGTAGCTTTGGAACCTTCCCATAAACCCAAGCACTTAGAAGCATAGAAGTGTTAACTCAATGTTCTGGTGGATGTCAGAGATGAGCTTTCTAGCTTGTTTATACAGAAACAATGGGTATAACTGAGTTCACCCTGGTTGACTTCTTAACAGAATCAAGGCACCCAGGTCTTAAGACTATGTGAAAAAGTTAGGTAATTGTTGCAAAGTGGAGTGTGTTTCTTAAGATGCCTCTCGGAAGAGCACAGAATGCCCCACAGTTGTGGTTTGGTTGCCGAGGTCTAGGTGACTTACACAGTCAGTCTTCCAGAGGTTGTGGGCAGTATTATGCTGTGCTACTTAAAATTACTGTGGAAAAGACATTCTGGGGGAATTTGGATGGTGAAAAATTCAGTAACTGGCTGATAGGAATCCTTAGCATGAGAGGTTAGAATCTTGGTATTAATGACTAGTCTGGTTTTTATGGTGCCTTAAAATTATCCCTGCCAGTTCCTGTGTAAAGGGTTGAGATTTTAAGCACTTTTGTAACAGTAAGTGCCTTTTTGGAGATGGTACCTTTCAACAGTTTGTTAACACAGTGTCTTCCAGTTTTGCCTCTGGGCCTATTTCGCATCATCAATCCCCTGCCCTTCGTATTAAGTTGGTCCACGCGTCCAGTTCCCCGCCTGTGTAGCTGTTGCTCTGCTGTTGAGCGACAGCTAATTAGACCTTCGGACAATGAGTGTAAATACTGCTTTTGATCTGTAATACTTTTACACAAAGGTTTTTATTTTAATAATGTTTTTGTTTTAACTTGTCTGCTTTTTAAAATACTGAATCTTACAATCTATATTTTTCCTTGTATTTCAATAAAAGGCTGTTTCTACCTTTTCTGGTTTGTTTTGTTTTGTTTTGTTTTGTACCGGGAATTGAACTGCCAACTTCCTGCTTGCCAGGCAGGCACTGTGTCTGTGCCTTTTCTGTACATTTCCCTGTTTCTGAAGGTCCAGGCCCAGCTCTTTTGAACAGAATCTCACTTGGTCATGTGACTAACAGCTGTAATCAGAAGAGCAGTTCAGCCACATCACCCAGAACAAACATTGTGAGTTGTGGTTTGCGGCCCCTAAACTAACAGTGGTTTTGCAATGGTTGGCTACTCTTACCATTCAAATATTTATTACACGCATGCTATTCTTTGAGACCTATTCTAGGACTGGGAGAATCTGAAGGTATAGTGTAAAAACTCTTATTACCTAATTTTTTGAGGCAGTGTTGCTGGCCTTGAACTTACTGTGTAGCCCAGGCTGACCTCACAATTTATGTGGTCCTTCTGCCTCAGCCTCCTGAGTGTTAGGATTACAGGTTTGCACCACCGTGCCTGGCTAAAGCCCAGTTCTTAGGGCCAGGAGCTGGCAAATGGCAGCCTGAAGGCTGAATCCTGCTGTAGCCTGTATTAAAAGAGCATGTGACAGCATGGCCCATAAAACCTAAAATATTTATAACATGGCACTTTATGGAACGTTTGTGGTACCCTACACCAAATTTACTGGGAAGCTGTGTTTACTTGGCAGGGGGAAGCTACCACCAGGAGCACACCACGGTTGGTGAACGACAGATCCAGGAAAAAGAAAGGATTTTTTTTTAAATAAACTTGGAATCTTAAGAATCCTAATAGTTGGGGCTGGGGATTTAGCTGAGACGCATAAGCACCTGCCTTGCAAGCAGGCGGTCATGAGTTCGATCCCCGGTACCGATAGAAAGGAAAAAAAAAAAAGAATCCTAATAGTTGGGCCAGGGATGTATGTAGCTCAGTGGCATAGTGCTTGGCCTGGCAACCGCAAGGTCCTGAGTTTGATTTCTGGTACCAAAAAAAATTCTAATAGTAATTCAGCTTTATTAGGTATATATTATAGTTGAAACGTATATGTGATATGTGATCCCATCAGGGTATTGCATACGTTAAGCACATACCCTTTCACATAGGTCTATCCTGTTACTAGGACATTCTTTGTGTTTTAGAGCTAGTATGTTTTTCCCTAAAAATGCTGGGCTTGTGTGTGATTCCAACATTCTTGAGAGGCTGAGGCAGGAGGATCACATGTTCAAACTCAACTTGGGTGACTAAAGCCTTGTGTCAAAAAAAGTAAAGGGGTAGGGATGTAGCTTAGTGTAACTCCCTGGGTTCAATCCCTAGTACCACGAAAAGGGACAGTTGATTGTGATGCCTTATCTTAAAAGGATCCACAGTAGTGGCCTGAACTAAGATAAAAACCTAAAAATGTTATCTTCAGGAATACAGAGAGGGAGGAAACAAACTTGTCTCTTCTCATTACTAGACATTTGATTTTTTTAAAAAATTAATTTTTTTTTATACTGGGAATTGAACTCAGGACCTCATGCTTGCTAGGCAGGCACTGTGCCACTCAGCTATATCACCAGCCTAATTTTACTTTAAAGAAAAAAATTTTTTTCAAAAAAAAGAATAGAAAAGGGCCTGGTGGCTCATGCCTATAATCCCAGCACTTGGGAGGTTGAGGCAGGAGGAACTTGTGCTACAAAATGGGTTCGAGACCAGTCTGAACTGTAGTGAGATCTTAGCTCAAAAAAAAAGTAGCAATGGTTAATACATTGCATATTGTTCTCTTCAGAGTAGTTACTCAGTACAAGATACAGGCATGAAAAATTGTCCAAACAATAGCACAAATCTTTCTTTTCAGTGAACTAAGAGAAATTAGTATAACTATCTTAAATCCCGTGTATGTTTTATATATGTATATATATATATAATTTTTTTCCTTTTCCCCTATCTAGTTTTTCTTTCCTTTTAGACATCTGAAATCATGTGACTGCTTTCTTTTTTTGAGATGGGGGGGTCCTCACTGTTGCTCAGCCTGTCCTCAAACTCTTAAACTTACATGACCCTCCGGCCTCAGTCTCCTGAGTAATGGATTCTACCTGGCCTGCTCCCTGGATTTTTGTTATGACTCCCATTTTACAGTAAGGATCTTAAGTGTGGTCTCAGGGACAATGTACTCAGCACCCAAAATGAAGGAAGGAAGGGCTTATTTAGCTCACCAGAGGTTTCAGTCCAAAGCAGGGTGGCATGGCACCAGGAAAATGCTTAAAGGCAGAGCAAAAGCGGGAGACAGGCCTCTTCCTCCCTTATATAATATGCAGGCCACCCTCTGCACCCCAGGGCAGAGGTAGCGCTCACAAAATCTGTGTCCTCTTGCACAGAATGGTATTTATAAAGTAAGGATCCTGACTCCCTGCTGAGTCATTTAGTTAAATTTCTAAACCAAGTTGACAATGTGTCAACCAAAAATGTCCCCTGCAGAGCTCTCCACACCATCCTCAGTTGCAGAATTGGAGTTTGGACAAGTGGATGTGAAAAGTAATTATGGTGGGCGTGGTTGGTGGTGCACCTCTATAATCCCAGCACTCAAGGCAAGAGGATTGTTGTGAGATCAAAGCCAATCTGGGTCACACCAGTGAGTTCAAGGCCAGCCTGAATTATATGGTGAGACACTGTCTCAACCAAAAAAGAAAAAGTATATCTTGGCTCTGTACCCCAAATACTTCTCTGTTGAGGTCCTGAAGTTGGGGTGATAGTGATCCTTCCATACACGATGATTATACCGCCAGACAAGCTTTACAATGAGGCGGGCTGGGGGCAGTGGCCAGTGCTACAGGAGGCATTATTTTAATTTGCTTTTCAAAGAAAAGCCTGGAGGGGAGTGTCTGCCGGATGGAGGCCTGGGAAGAAGTTGAGTCATTTGCACACTGGGAGAATGGAACAAAGCTCCGAGCTTCTGGAGGAGGAGGAGGAGGGAGCACAGTGTTAGGTACTCAGAATAAAGTGCGAGTCCTGAGCACATAAATAGCGTGGGTCCTTTTATGTGGACTTAGCCCCACATTGATGGTACTCCAGGCGGAAGTAAGGCCAAGAACTGTGAGGAAAATGCCCATCAGCCCCAGCTGAAGGTCTGACAGCCACACTGGACAGGAAGGAGGGACTTCATACTGAACTGGACTGAGCAGGGTGCCGGGAAGTAGCCTGCTTAGTGAGGCTCAGTGGGAGACAGACCTTTCAGCAGCTGGCCAGGCCTGTCTGTGTAGCACATTTTCAGGGTCAGATGTTGGAAAACTCCTGAAACTTTAACTGCAAGCTCAAAAATTCTGTAAGCAGGAAAGGACTTCTTAGAGATCTACAAGATTGGGGAAAGAGGAGCACAGCACAGAGACTGTTAGATGCTATTGCTCTGAGACACAGGAGCTGGCGTAGAACATGAGCCGGGACCTGAGGGTGTGTGCAAGGAGAGGCCTGTTGGTCACAAAGTAACAGTTCCAGGGAGAGGCCTTCATTGCATGAAATATCCAGGTGATGAAAGCTACTGGAGAAAGAGCAAGAAGAAAGGAGATACCACTCAAAGGAAAAAGCCACGCATATGCGGGTGTAGATGTGTGTCTGTCACCACAGCTGCCTAGGAGGCCAAGGCAGGAGGACCACAAGTTCAAGCCAACCTGGACAATTTAGCAGGACCTTGTGTTTAAATAAAAATAAAGGGGGTTGGAGCTGTAGCTCAGTGGCTACAATCATTGGGTTCAATCTCCATTCCTATCTTTTCTAATCTCTGTCTGAATTTCATTCCCGGTACCCCACGGCCCCTGCCTCCATCATTTGTTGAATCTCAAACCTAACGTGATCCCATGGAGCAGAGAGCCATTCTGAGCCATTCTGACACCTCTTGGCCACTTCCAAGATGAGGTGCACTGCATTCCTGGTGGCGGTAGCCTACGGCCCAATGATAGCAGGAAAGAAGTTCTTCTGTGGGCCTCCTGCCTAGGGCTGGGCCTGGTTAAAATTAAGAATTTGTCTTTTGTAAATCTTTAAGTGGTTAAAGCCCCAGGAAACACACTGGCCATCTAAAAGAACAGAAAGATGTTCTATGTAGAACAGAAAGACTTCTAAGTAAATTGCTGATAAGTTCCAGAATTACCCCAGTTCCCCCAACCTCTTGGGTGCATAAAAATGTACCCAAACTCACATATGGACACTGTGCACTGCCCACCTCCCCACTTAGTGCCCTCTGTGCCTGCTTTACGGTAAATTCTGCCTATTCTTCTGAATAGCCTGTGTGTCTTGTCTGGCTTCTTTTCATCAAAGGCCCAAAAAACCACGGACCAAGGGAGAGGGGGCCAGTTTCTCACTGCATCAGGACCTGGCTTCCTGGTGACGATGCCGCTATGTCCAACTTTCTTTTTTTCCCTCCATGTGATTCTGGGGATCAAATCCAGGGTCTCCCACACGCATGTTAGGCATGTACTCTACCACTAAGCTCTATTCCCAGTCTGCTTGTGCCTTTTTTTTTTTTAGTTTGTTTCTTGGTTTTGAGGCAGGGTCTTGCTGTGTAATTAAGGCTTACCTTAAACTCACTATGGAGCCCAGGCTGACCTTCAGCTTGCAGAGATCATCCTGCCTCACCCTCCTGAGTGTTGAGATGACAGACCCACCACCATGTCTGTGTGTTTTGTTTCATGAGGTAGTATTTATACTAATTGGTACAACTTCCTCAGCACTAACATTAGCATCCCCCCTGGTGTTGAAAGCATCTTTTTGTTTTCTGGTAACATAAGACAGGCAGGCTCATTCCTTGTCCTTTTGGCCGCTAACCTGGAATCAGCTGTCTATCTAAAGTGTTTCACTTTCAAGACATATTTCTTTTAATCAACCTGTTATATATCAATTTGTATATATCACTATACACACATACATGTATCTTCTTATATACTTGTTAGGGTATTCTGGCCCAATAGAGAAGCAAAAAGTACAAGCCAAAAAACAGGTTTATTGAGTTGAGGATGTGGAAAGGAGCACACACCCCATGGCA